TGAGTGAGCTCCTCAGAAGCTCTCCTGGAACAACAGGACTTGCCAATATTGGTCGGTACTGGCTAGAGGAAGTGAAAGGTGTTTGATCCCTTAGATAGTGCCCAGGTTTTCCAAAATTCACTTTTTCTACGAAATAGAAGTTTTCACTTTTGTGACAATGGACTTCAGGTGGGCTTCAGGAGTTAAAGCCGTTTCACAACCGTTTGAGACTTTTTGCAGATCTTTCCGAAAGCATTAACACTTTCATAACAGAAGAATTTGCAAACCCCCAAGGAGCAAATACTACTTTTAACAAATTAAGAATTAAAAGAGAAAGAATGGCTTCCTATTGGAGAAGAGCTCAAGATACATCATGTCCACTCTGGAAGAGACACAAAGAAGAACTTCCTTCAAAACAGGTTTGCTTAACTTAGGAATCAATACTTTCCAGAAGTTCTTTGGAAGTCATTGAGAAAGAAGAAATGTTTTCTTTGCCCAAGATGGTGAAGTTCTGGAAAGAATAGGAATGGAGGAGAAGGTAGGGCTGGGCAGGGCCATAGACAATGCTTCACCAGTTCCCTTAATTTATAGTTTTAATAACCTTTCAATGCCTTTTCCAGCTTAATGGCTTCAAGTGCTGAAAATACCTTTACGTAAACAGCAAGAGTGCTGATACATTAGGTTTTGTTCAAAACCCAAACTCCTCAATATCCCCAGCGATCAGAGACATCATCTTGACAGCAGTGATGGATAAAAGATGAAGCCAGAGAGCGAATTGTGAGAGTCAGCCAGACACTCAGATGTGGGTGCGTGTATCGATGCATTGTCCCCTCTTGCTCTGTCACGAAGTCGTTCCTGCCAACACTCATTCACAGCATTTGCTGTTTCCCCGAGGGATTTCCTGTGGCACACCAGCAAAAGAACAGGCTTTGGAGTCATGTGTTGGTTCAAACTTGACCTTGGCATTTTCTATCTATGTGACCTTGGGCAAGGTGTTCAACTTCTCTGAGCTTCCTGTACAAAACACCCACATCCTCCGGCTGTGGTAAAGACTAAGTGAGATGCAAAGCAAGATGCAGACAGGGTAGAACACAGTGAGTGTGAATCAAATGCCTTTAAACTCCTAGAGGTTTTATTCTCTGTGCTTTGTTGATCCTCTGAATAGATTCAGCCTTATATGCTTGGACAGCATTTTATGTACTTGTCCTCTATCCCAAGTGAATTATAAGCACTTTGAGGGTGGGACCAGGTACAGGAATCCCACACAACACTCAGAATGGTGCTGGGCACGTGGCAAATACCCAATAAGTGAATTTTGATTTAACAAACTCTAATCAACCTTGGACCAGTTTGTTAATGATTATGAAATTCTAATGAGATGTAAAAAAGGGAGTTGACCAGCCATAAATAAATGGCTTAATACATTATGGTATATTCCATTAGTGGGTCATTACATGGAAATTAAAATCATGTTTTTAAAGAATAGTTAACAGAGGTGGCTCATGAGACGATATTATATGAAAGGGGCAGGATACATCATTGTCTATTCTGTATCTTATCAACATTGTAATGTATATGAGCCAAGAATAAAACTGGAAAGATAAGTATCAGAGTATTAGCAATGCTTATATTGGGGTAGTGGAATTACTTGTCTTCTTGTTCCTGTGTGTTCAAATGATCTACAATGAGCATGTGTTACTTAATCAGAAACAAACAAACAAACAAACGAAAAACCCTGGTAATTGTTTCTATGGAGAATGGAAAGGCATCCCATTATAAAATGAATTTCTCAAGGATGCTGCCAATCCTGATTTAGGGACATTGATATTGTTGACCTTGTTCCCCTGCGGCCCACCCCACGTAGTATCAGTGCAAGTTGTGTCTTCCTATTGCATTAAATGCTCACCTCAAGGTTAAAAAGAAATGGAGAGAGAAAAAATTTCCTGCAGGGACTGGGCCACTTATTTCTAAATCCCTTGTCAGATGCCCTTGAGATTTCAAGGTCTTAAAGGGGGCCTCCCCACTTTGTTCCATTACCAGGTCAGTGGCAATTCTTGATCTCTGGAAGTCTCCTCGACAACCCCTGAAAATACACAGCAAATGGTAGAAAGGTGGATGCCAGGACCCCTCTCCCAGGCCAGAGAACACCTCCAAACACCCAACATGCAGACTGTGTACATGACAGTAAGTCTAATAAAGTGGTTCAGAGAGTCAAGGTGACATGATGTTGTCACTTGTGACCTCCATGACTTTGGGGAAGCTGTTTAACTGCTCTGAGTACCAGCTGCCAAATGGAGGAGGATAACTTTACCTTGCCCACAGGAACAGTGCGAAGATTCAGTGCGATCGTGCTTGCCACGTTCCTAACCTAATCCACAGAGGCTGACCCACTACCACTAAACCAGTGTGGCTTGCTGAAAGGAGCACTGACTTTGGCCCTGCAAGCCCACTTTAGTACTCACCAGCTATGTGACAAATGGGCTCACCTAACCTGCTTGAACATTAGTCTGCACATCTGTAAAATAGAGCCAATGATGTTGACTTCCGAACGTGGTTTTAAGGAGTAGAGAGCATGGGTGTAATAGATACAGTAGCCTGTGGAAGCCAGCCAGGTGGAGTGGGTGAGATGGGTCAAGTGTGCCACGGTGGAGAGCATCCAAGCAGGGTAGCCATGCCGTGACACCAGCCAACTGTCACCATCCAGGCATTCAGAAATGGGAATCTTTGTTAAATTTTTTTGCATTGCTGTTCGATACGATGTTAGGAGCAGCACGAAATTTTAATTCTAAAATCAGTTTTGAAGTGTTGGCAAATAATTAGACATTTCTTCAGGCAACATTGTGTAGGTCACCAGTGGTTGACTAGATTCCCACTTGTTTATTCCTACCCTTCGCCACGGGACTTTGCAGGAGGGAGTGTATATTTCCCCACCCCCACCGATGTGAGGCTTATCCTTGCGACTTGCTTCGGCCAGCGGATGCAGGGTGAGCAGGCGTATGTGTGATTTGGCCTAACTTCTTTTCACTTTTTCCAGAGTATGCCAAGAGAGGAGCATGCCCCTCTGTCCCAGAAAGAGATCTGAGGGGCAGACCTGATGGAGAGTTGCCCCAGGTAACCGACAGCACCTTTTTTTCTTTTTTTCTTTTGTTTTTACCTGAAGAACACTCCTTCAATAATCTCGTGCCTCCAAATCCTGATCTCAGGCTCTGCTTCTGGGAATCCCAACCTAAGACACGTGGCCTCCCATAACTTCTCTTTTTCAAATTCGCCTTTCCAGAATTTGCCAAGATGATAAATTAAAATCACCTGGCACTTAATACACATCCAACAAATGCTGACTTCTTCTCTCATCTTCCTCACTGGTGGAAAACAAAGTGGAAAAACACGAGGAAATTTCTTTTAGGAAAAACGTCCTCAAGTGAATTTTCTGTCGTCTCATATAGCAACTTTTTGAAAAATGGGCAAGCAAGACATTGATCTTTAAAAATGGAGATAGCAATGCCAACTTTGTGAAGCTTTGGGGATTAGCTGAAATAGTATCTGTGGACCTTAAGTAGGGCTGTTTGGTGCAGAATCAACACTTGTGGGGAAGCCACCGCTCCTCCACTTGCCAAGCTGCAACACAGGCCAGTTCTTGCTTTCTCATTGTTGTGTCCATGGCAAGCATGTGCCCAGCACACAGCAGACTCTCACACATCTGCCCAACTGAACCACAGTGAGCAGGGAAAGGAATCAGACTTTACGAAGGATGGCATGGCTGTCCCAATTCCACTCCGTTTGGACTCTGGGCAATAAATCCAAGCTCAATACTTCTCATGATCGTGGGCAGATTTCTCCCCCTGCCATCCCCCCAACCCCTCGCCAAACGCTCACAAACAGCCAGACGCAGTTGCTTTGGTCGTTAACACAGTTTATTATTGGCACACTTATCAGTAAAGCATACATAAAATACAGCTGTTTTATAACACACGGAGCCACTGTGTCTTTACATGTGTGGAAGAACATATTAATATGCAAATGGAAAAATTAGTTCTCTTATAAAGTTTCACATAAATACACTGGAATTGCCCCCAAAGAAGAATCCCCATAAAAGAACCAGGTGAGGGCTTTACAAAATATTATACAAGAAATATACCATGAAAAGAAACAACAGTCAACTCAGATACGATAAAAAACACAAAAAAGTTTCAGATTTATTAACCTGCCCACAAAATTAATGGATTACATGTCTTGAAAAGATTTGGATCAACAGCAATTTTACAAACGAGTAGGTTCTCGAGGGGCCAGGTGTCTGTCTTTACATAAAAATCTGCCTCGGTGTCTTCGATGACAAAAAGACATTTCTGGTTTCAGCCCTTGGGCTCAACTGAACCAGCTGCGGTTGGAGAACCGACTGACATTAGCTCACCCAATAATTACCCTGCAAGGCCCTCTTAGCTGTCACCCCATGAAAGAAAAGGTGAAGGAAAAAAATAATAATAAGGATACATTGAAATTACTGTCCAAAGGCTGATTTTTTTTCTTTTCTTTTTTTACTGAAACAAGAAACTCTCAGATGCAAGTCAAAAAGCAGAAAATATTTTACAATATTAAAAAGTCATCTGTAGTTAGGGTCGGCATATAACGAGACCCTGAGCACTGAGGGCGTATTGACAATATGGCCTTCGTCGGGGTGGGGTTGGGGGGGTGGGGTGTAATTAACAAACACGTGGTTAACACCGAGCCCGGAGAAGCGCGAGCTTTCACTCTTTTCATTAAGATCAGTGCCACTCTCTGTGTTACCTGTGAAGGCCTCCAGGGAAGGGTCAGGGAAGTTTATTGGAACGATCCTCTCAATTCAAAAAAGAAAAAAAAGAAAGAACAAAGAAACCCAAACTCAGATCATTGTGGTTTAGAAACAGGTATTTGCGTGGAAGAGTTTTTTATTTCTCCTCCTTCCTCTCCTGCAAGCAAGGATCTGCAAGCGTGAGCGTGCCCCACGACCTACTGACGGCGGGTGCGGGTGTGGGTGCGGGTCAGTGTCACTGGGGAGCCTGGGGTGGGGCGTTTTCTGATTTGGTCTCTTGAGCGGCGGGGGGTTTACTGCTCCACGGGCTGCTGTTCCCCAGGGCCGGGGGGCTGTTGAAGTCTTCCTCGTCGTCCACGCCGTTGGCCGCGTCATATTGCGTGTTTTCTAATCTAGTGATTAGCCTTTCGTCCTCGTCCCCAAACTCACCTCCCATCAAGGTTGGTTCGCCTACCACCATCACATCCTGTGAACAGCAGCTGACATTATTACAGGGAAACCTTGGGACAGAGAAGCTCAGCTTAAAACACTAGCGGGAGGAGCTGGGGGGTCTAGGACAGACACGCTCGTGTACTGTGCACCGGGGGTCAAGTCTCAAAGTCGGGGGGCGGGGGCGAGACGCATATTGGATTTCTACAGGAAATAAACATTGCCTCCTGACGTGGAACAACCACGCGAGTTTATGTCCTTAGTGCGCAGCCTGACACCGGAGAACGAGCAATGCTAGCAATCTGCAGAAATAAAAAAATGGATTTTTCAAGATTAAAAAAATCCACGCTTTTAACTTGCCGACGTTGGGGACTTTTAGAGAGAGGGCTGTGGAACCTTCTGCTGGGTGCTCTCCACTACCTCCAAAAATCCGCCACTTTTTACGTTAGGGCCTCTGAATGGCTTCAGACTAGCAGCCAACAGGGGGAGGGTGCCATTCTGCAGTATTCACGCAACTCATTCCAAATGGCGTTCTCTCTGTCCCAAGGACGGTATACATTTTAATTGAAGGCAGAATCTCTCTTTTTTCCACTCAGCCAGGCCCTTTTATGCAGCCAATATCCTTGACATTCTGCTACTTAATTATGGTAATTAATTTAGGTAAAGTTTTCGATAAAAACAATGTTCACACTGATTTGACAATTTGCATAGCTAATTAAGTCATTAGCAAAAACCTGCTGATTGCCAACAAGCCCTGAATTTACCATCTGTTATTTCATGGTGCCTGTCACCTATCCCCACACAGGCAACCCTGCCACCAATCTGGGCAGTCAAGAGAACCAGTCTGTCCAGCTGGTGCCATAAAAGGAAGAAGAGCACTAATTATAATTACATTGATGAAGCTGGCAGTCATCAGAAATGGAAGCGTGCAAGAAGAATCCATCTAATCACTCCTTTAAGCACAGACTGTCCTTCCATGCAAACAAGGAAGCCACCTACTGTAGCCGGGAGCATCGTGGAGGCCACAGCTGGAGAGGCCCGGGGCCCAGGAGGAGAAGGGGGCATACACAGGGCACGGCTCCGGCCTCTTTGTTCAGAGGGGGCTGTGTGGGGTTGGTGGGTGACCTGGGCATGGGACAGGACACCTGTCAGGTGATACTGGGTGATACTTGCTGGGCAGGCTGTGAGCAATAATCTACTCAAAAGTGCGGTGACTCCAGGCGAGTGCCCAAGGCCATCAGCTTCCGCCTCTGCCAAAACAAGCAGGGCTGAGCCAGATGCTTTTGGAGACGTAAGGGTGTGTTTCCTGATGCGGACGCTAATTCGATGAAATGCCCTGGTAACTGGGCGAAAATTTTGTCTTCACTGGGGCAAGAGAGGCTTTCCTGGGACGGTATAGGAGAATACTGCCTTTGGTCAGGAGGCGGTCCATTGGGCCCTCCCGTTTCTTTCTAGAATTATGAAGGTGCCAATTGAACAAAACCCTTGCTTGTCGCCTGGTTGATTTTGCAGTGGAAAACCTTGTTTGTTTGTTTGTTTGTTTGTTTGATTGACTGATTGATTGGTTCCCCTAGAATTATGGGGAGATAATCAATAGATTTCCAAACTGTGTTTTCTGACTAACCGATCTTGTGATTTGATAAACATGATTTTAAAGAGATATGTCCCAGATTAAGTAAATGCCTCAAATATGCACTGGGTAAACTCAGCAAATATAGGTACTGGCAGGACAATCAGAAGTGTGCTTCGAAGAACGTACTGACTATGCAACGAAGAGCCAGACACGACATTGACATGTGGGGAGACTCATGAGGGCTCAAGGTGAGGTACAACATAGACAGAGACTCTGATTGGCAAGAATGCCGACAGGACTGGAGATGGAATGTGGCCTCCAGAGAGGAGGGGACATTATCGGGTCAGCCATATGACCCGTTGGGGGTGTTCTGGACAAAAAAGTGCCACTTGGTTACAGGCAGTTAGGAGACAGTGCTTATGATCAGGAACAAAGGTGGGGTGGGGGGGAAGAATGGGGCAAGATTGGGCAGAGGATGACACGGGTTCATCTCATTTCATGACTTACGTGCAGCACACGTTGAAAGGGTCGGAAAACACATGCATAAGGTGTCACAGGGCAGGGGAAGGGTGTGGGAAGTGACCACATGGGTCCTCATTAGTACTGTGAGTCCAAGGTCATCGAGAGAGGCTGGGGCAGTGTGAGGAGGTAAGCGTAATTTGGAAACAGAGGAGAAAAATCAGAAGGCAGCTTAAGCGTGACATTAGAAAAAGTTCTCGACACTCCAGGTGCCTTCATTGCATCAGAAAATAACAGTTATTCAAGAAAAGTACTGTGAAAATAGTGATTTGAGTCACTTCAAATGGGACTGATGTAGGCTTGTCATGTTTGGAACAGGCATGGATAGTTGTAAGCATCCTAAATTTCAGAGTGATGCCACATTTGCCTTCCTGATTGTACAAGAAAATCCTTAGCCAGATACATAATCCTGTGTGTACCTGTGCGGATGAGTGACAGATGGCAAGCTATGACAGATGTGTGCCGTGGGCTTCTCATGTGCATAGATACCTGAGGCCGCTTAGGCCGCTATGCACGGGGCTCTACCTGCTTCTTCTAAACCTACAGACTCAAAGAGTGGTTCTCTGCTCAGGCAGTCTCACTTGGTTAGCCTCACACAAAACGAACGGAGACATAGTGCACGTTCTGGGCTGCCTCTACCTAGCGGATGTTGGCCCCGTTTTCCCCACCCCCCCATCTTTAAAAATCCCCCCAACGTTCAACATGAGTAGTGAGAGTTGCATTATCCTTCCCGTCTCTGCTATCTCGTGTGTCCCACAGGAGGCAGGGCTGGTCTGTCTGAGGGTAACCCCGGATGCCCTTCGCTCCCCCTGAGGCAGACCTCTGCTCCTCGCCGGAGGCCTGGAGGCGCCACGCCCATTGTCACATCTTCTCACTAATCCCCCGTGCAAGGACCACCAACCTCTGAGGAGGACTGGAAGTGACTCCTTTCAGGGCCCCTCAATGCTTCTCCTTAAATTGGCCAGAAGGGGTCACTGCTGTTGAATGACACAGGTCTCCATCCCTCCCAGGGTTGAGGCTGCAGTTCGGGATCGCTCCTAGCCCCTGCTCATGGAGTGAGAAGCAGAATCCAAGGATTAAACCCTAGTCCTCGCCGGACACGCACGTTTGCTGCCGCGGCAGCCAGGCGGACCACAGCTGTGGTCACGGTGGCACAGAGAACCTGGCCGTGCCTTCGAACGAGGCAGCCCTTGTGCCTGCAGATCGCGTTCTAGTTCAACAGTCAAATCGTGTCGGTAATTCAGTACACAGGGTTAAAAGAGGGGGTCGCTACAAGCCAGACGATGCCTATCGCGGAAGGTCCATTCAGCAAGAGTGCACCCCGAAATGTGCACCTTTTCCTAATGTGGCGGTGGCTTTTTCCTGCCCCCCCTTGGCCATCTGTAAGCTTGACTTCATTGAAACATCTTGAATTGCATGGTGCGGGGGTGGTGCTGGCGTTCTGCTCTCGCTTTCTAATGGTGCCTTGTTCTCTCGAAGTCCAAGGGGTCTCACTTCATTAAAAGCCCTCTCGACACAGGGATCCTCCACTAAGATGTAGTTGTTGGCTTGGAGGATAGGAGCATAAGGGAGCGGAACAGACTATGTGCCCTTTAAAATAAAATTGAAATGTTTCCGACGAGGCTAGGGATGTCGAAATCTGTGACACACATACTGCTATTCTACACCTGAGGCAGACATCACCAATGGATGGCCCACCAAACCCAAGGCCTCAGAATCCTGCTCAGTGCCGTACCCTGCTGGCTGACACCGGGAGACTGAGCTGGCAGGAGAGGCTGAGCTCTTCAGTGACCGACAGGGCCTGGGTTTTTGTTGTGGTTGTTTAATCTCAGTATTGCTGATATCTGGTACGGTGTGGGGCACATAGTAGGAGCTCAAAACAACTGGTGAACTGAACTGAATTCTTGCAGTCACTGTGCCTTTAAGGAGCAATGCCACAGTTCCAGAATTCTCTGGAATGCACTTCCATTTGCTAGAGGAAACTAACAAATGTTAGTTTCTAAAACTCCAGGAGTAGATGAATAATAGGCTACTTGTGTGCACTTTGGGGTTGATTTATTTATACCAGGCCATTTTCTCTGTGTATTTTCCAATTTAACCAGAAGTGGGCCTAACTTATTGGTACCTTAATAAAAAGACTCTGTTTTGTTTTTTTTTTTTCTTTGATTTTTTTTTTTTTCTGACTCTTTAGCCAGTTCAGAAAACAGAGGTGAGTCTGGCATTATTTAAAAACTATAATTCCTAGCGGTCTTAAAATTAAAATGGTACCTTCCCCACAGGCTGGCCACTCTCTCCATGACCCTTTCTTTCTAGTGCAGTGATGATGAAAACCATACCCTCTGTCTATGGAAGACAGGAGAAGAGTCTCAGTGGCCCAGGTGATTCTCAGGTACTGATGGGGTTGCTTCTAGCCAAAGAAAACCGACCGATGGAAAGTGGGTAAAAGTGGGTTGGGGCCAGATTTGAAAGACACATTTAGAAGTAAGTGGAGAATCCCCATGAAAGAAGAATCCACTCTCACATGGGGAGAGATAATGAGGACAACAGACCAAGACAGGGAAGAAGGTGTGAAAGAGAAAAGGTAAAATTGTACTGGTTGAGGGAAGTAATAAGAAATAGAACACATTTCCGAAGACATGGTATCCAAGGGATAGCCATGAAGCACCACGGAAGTATCAGGGTTCAAACGACAGTCAAACGCCTGGAGACAGGGTGATGTGACAAGGGCAGCAGAGAAGGACACCCACAAGTAATCGTGGAGGGGACGAGGGACGAGAAATGTTCAGAGGAGCATGAGAATTTAAAAGCGATAAATGATCTAACACTGGGCTGAGGAATCTGGAGTCAGAAAGGAAGTAGGCAGACAGGACAGAACTTGAAAAAAAAAATGGAGATGAAGAAAGTGCCCACACGGGCAACGCGCTATTTGGGGACACCCGTCAGCTGTCAGCCTCGGAGTTCAAAGAAGCCCCCTTCTAAGCGGCCCATTTCCTCTGTCAAGACCCAGAAATGAAAGAAAGGGTCAAGAGGTCAGGAGAGTTGAGACCAAACCAAGGGCGGACCCTCCCCCTGAGCTAATGAAATGGGTCAAGTGGCATCCACTGAGCTGCGATTTTAGTGGCCGAGAGTTCATTACCTGAGTCTCAAAATGAGAAGGGCACCCATGTTGGGAAGGCCCAGTCAAATTACAACATGGAGCCTGAACGCCGGAAGCTAGTTTCCAGTGGAGCACAGGGGTCCCCGGGGATCTTGCCGAGGGCCCCTTCTCTGCCACCAGGCATGGCGCTAAGTGATATTTTAATTAAGCCTCACGTGACACATCTCCTGTCTGTGCCTCTGACGGCTCTGTAATTCAGGTCCCTGTGCAGCGCAGACGCTTAATATTGCTTCCTAATTCCCAGTTTGCAGGGGAAGGTTTCCACGGTAGAGCTCCTCCCGCCCACCCTCCCCCTGCCCTTGCCTGGCCCTCCCCCGCCCCCAACCCCCAAGGCAGGAGCGGCTAACGGGGACTTTCCCTGGGCCCCCAGCAGGCGGAGGACAGGCGGAGGCGGGATTTCGGGCCTAAGAGGAAAGCGAGACTTACAGGTACCTGACTGGACAGACTCAGGTTAGCGGCTGGCGTCTTCTTCTTGCTGCCGGTGCTGTTGGCGGTGTTCCCGGCGCTGCTGTTGGACGTGCTGCTGGTGGAGTTTTTTCTTTTTCTCCGCTTCGTTGTCGGCTGCCGTGTGGGTTCTGCTGCAATACGGACAATGGATGGAGGGTCAGATCTGGGGCAACCGTCACCATACCGTCCCCCCAAGGAAGCTGTGCTTGTAAATGACAAAGAGCACACTCTACATTGTTGCCGTTTCTTTTAGCTTCACGCTAAGTGAAGGGAGGAAGCCGCGGCTTTATCCTTTTAGCACCAAATGGGTGCAACTCTTTTCTTTGGTCTCTAGATCAAACGATTTGTGCTTCACTGTTCTCTCTACCGTTAGACACGTGCCTGCAGTCTAGTAAATGTAGTTTAGGGGCGAGCCTCAAATACCACTGTTAACAGTCGCGTGAAACATATTATCACCATTACAGAATTTGAGAAAACCCTTTTCTCTGGACTGTTGGCTCTTTAGGGGGAAAGGAGGGCTCTGCGTTCCTCCGGGGGGCCTCGGAGGAATGAGAGAAAGGGTTAAAACGAGTTAAGGTGGTAGACCAGCACCTCCCAGTCGGCACCTGGTTGCAGGCCAGCGCAGACCTTGAGATGCTCAAGTACAGAAAAGAGGAAGCATGAGTCCTATCAGCTGAGAGTGTCACACGTAGGGTCCCTAGCTCAGTACAGTTGTCAGGTCGCATGGTTTGGACCCCGGTGTTTAAAGAATGCTGCTCATTTCAAAGTTGCTGGGGGGAGAAGGTCGAAGTGTGCTAGGGCCAGCATCTGCACGAAGGGGAACTAGATCTTTGCATCCAAGTCCCGCTTAGAAACAGAGGAAAATATTGCGGACCCGCCAGCTGAACAACGTCTTAGTGGAAGCAGAGGGACGTGTGGTGATGTGGGGCCGGAGGATGTTATTTGTTTACCTATTAGGTAGTGTGAGAAGTACCAATGTTTTCATGTCCGTAATGGTTTCATCTGCTTCATGTGTTTTATGTCATGACTATTGTATGTTCCTGGCAAGTCTGTTAATTCGGTTCTATTCTGATCTTTGTTTTGTAAATGAGAAATCTGCGCAAACTTTTTCCAGGCATTTACTAAGTTGGAAATGTCATGTAAAAGCATCCTTTTTGCTAACCCTCTTTTGAACCAGCGCTGATGGAGAGAAGGTGAGCCAGGGACCCAGTGAGAGAGCCTTGTAGCATTTTCTTTTTTTTTTTTTTTTTTAATTTTTTTTTTTTTTTCAACGTTTATTTATTTTTGGGACAGAGAGAGACAGAGCATGAACGGGGGAGGGGCAGAGAGAGAGGGAGACACAGAATCGGAAACAGGCTCCAGGCTCTGAGCCATCAGCCCAGAGCCCGACGCGGGGCTCGAACCCACGGACCGCGAGATCGTGACCTGGCTGAAGTCGGACGCTTAACCGACTGCGCCACCCAGGCGCCCCTGTAGCATTTTCTTAAAACATTTATGCGCTTCTGATGGGCAGTGGGGAGGATTTCCTTTAAGGCTCATTTCAAAGGCCACTTAGTCCACCAAATTACCCCTAACATTTGAGGAAGAAGAGGATTGTGTTCCTATTTATATACCAATTCTTCTTTTGTAAATATTTTGTCTCTTATGTGCAAAGATTTTCTTTTTTCTTTTTTTTGTAAACATGATTAATTTTTTTGTTAAGTTTTTAATAATAAGTTTAAATAATAAGTTTATTTATTTTGAGAGAGAGCACAAGTGAGTGTATGTGTGCAAGCAGGGGAGGGGCAGAAGGGGGCGTTGGAGAGAGAGAATCTCAAGCAGAATCTGCACTGTCAGCACAGAGCCTGACACGAGGCTCGATCTCATGAACTGTGAGATTATGACTTGAGCCAAAATCTGGAGGGAGTCGCATGCCTAACCTACTGAGCCCCCCACGTGCCCCAAAGATCTTCATCAAAGGTCCTAACATGTCTATCTGTAGAGAGTTATGGGTGCTGCTCCTAAAAGTTGTGGAAACAGGAAATAGAATTTTTCCAGCTCATGATGCTGGGAAAGAGCTGAGTGACACATTCAAAGTCAATCGAATACTTAGTTCCCCTGACAATAGCTTCTTCCATTACCTCAAAAATTAAAACTGACTACTTTT